CAGCATCCTTTTTCATGTATATGTAAAAGATTTTACCTATTAAAATTTCATGTTCAGTATGCATAGCTTTTTTCTTCTACCACCTATACCATGACTTGATGTGAACAATTAGGAGGCTTTCTGAAGCAGGGGCTACCAGTGAGCATGGGGCAGGAACAGACTCAGCTGTGAAATCCTGACCTCCAAACCTGGCTCAAGCATCAGCTTGGTCTGGAGCTTATGCAAGATATGTACAATTTCTCCCACTGGGAAAGCACTGATAATTACAGGCACTCTGACTGCATCCTGATTTCACTGAGGTTAGTCAATTATGCAGGCATTGCTGCTAAAACATAAGACAAATTGATAGATCCAAAAGCACACGGAGGTTGCCCTGGAAGAGCCACAAAACCCTCTTTGAACGCTCTGCACTCCTGAGAGTTTGTAATTATTGCCAGTTTTTGCCTAAAGACAGGCTCAAGGGCCCCACCATCTTGGCTAGATTCCTGATGTCAGCATCTTACAGAGACAGCTGCATTTGGGATTCACTGAGCAGACAGAGCAGCAACACAGCTCCTCGAGGGAGGCTCTGAGCAAGCGTCACACAGGCAGGCACCACCACAGCCATCACAAATCACAGCTCACCAGCCATTTCCAGCTACGGCAAAGCCCAGGGAAGAATGCCTTGGCTTCACAGCATGCTGCAGGAGGGGTTGCTTATCAAGCTTCCAAATTGTTACCTCCACACAAGCAGGTATCACTAATCAGGTGACAGAGACAGACAGGCTGGGTGGATGCAAGCACACATTGTGAGATGGAGGAAATGGCTGGGGAATGAGGTGAAAATTTGGTGGGATGTGTGTTAGGAAGGCAGTGAGAACACCATTTGGAAAGTAGTGGGACATTTCTGGGGTACAGCAGGAAGGGTACAGGGTGAGAAGAGAGTGAATGGAGGCACACTGAATTCACAGGCTGACAAGCAACCAACACTGACTGTGATTACTGGGAGTGCCTGAGCAAGTCATTGCTAATGGCACTCGCAGCCACTGACACTCTGCCAACTTCATCCAGACAAAATACATTTGGAAAGGCCAAACCCAGTGATTACAGCAGTCAGCAGAAACTCCACTGATTGCACTTCCTCCCCGGCCTGAGGGAATGCAAACTCACAGCTTTTGGCACCAAGGTGACACACGTGGCCATGTCCTAATGATGCTGTGCTGCCATGCAAAAAAGATGGCTAGACTTATGGGGCTGGGAGCAGGGCTGTTCCTGGGGAGGATACCTGGCAGCCTGGAGCCCTGGCCTAGATCCTTGCTCCAAGCAATGGGTGGGTCTATGAACTTCACCAGTGCCAAATGTGTGAACAGCAAGAAGGGCTGGAAACAGAACCAGGAACTTCCACACCCTGCTGCGCTCCCTTCTCCCTCTCTCATGGACAACACCTTGCACCTTCCTTCTCCACCAAGTCTCAGCTCCAAGGAGTGTCCCACAACCTCTCCTAGTGCAGATGGATCATGCAAGAAACTGGAAAAATATATTTGAGCTTTACACTGCTTGCAGTGAGAAATTAGAGCTATTCACTGCACTGAGCTGAGGCACCCTTTATTACAGGAGCGATTCCTGATTCCACATTAGGAATTAACTAGGTGAGAAAAACTGCCTAGATGAGCATGGAATCATACTAGTTCTTCTCTGTCCTCATGATACCTTTAGCTTAATTTATTGAATTAGAAAACAGTTAAGTGTCTGCTTCTCAGGCAAGACTGCTCCAGCTTCATTTGTAATATCTGGAGAGGGATTAGACATGTCAAGCATTTGCTTTCATACCACGGTGTATGGAACACACATGAGGAAAATCACGTTGACCCTCAACGCACTCCGAAAATATAGACAACACACTCAAGAGTAGAGAGAAAAAATACTTTGGTGATGATTCTTCATCAGGGGCACCCAGCAGACATTTGTGCACTGAAGAGCCTACACAAGTCTCTAAAACTGGGCACTACTGGGAGAGCTGCGCTCAAATGTGTGCTTCTATAAACCCCTTCACAGATAGCTCTGCCCTCACCCTTAACTTTCATTTCCTATTTGTTCCATTCCCTAGCTTATACCTTAAAAGACATACACAGATTTTTCTCTTCATAGCACATTTATTTGCCCCACAAATGGACCAAAAATATGAAAAGACTGATTTTTGTTATCTCACCTACATAAACGCATTGATTTCCTTAAATCTACCCAGGACAAAATAATATTTTCTTTTTATTGCATTTCTGAGGAAGTCATGCCTTAACTTAGATCTTATTTATCTACATCTTTTGCTTCAACCTCTCAGTCAGAAACAGAGCTTCCAGCTCTGTTTTTCTGGCATTAGTACTCACTCTGAAAAGTCCAGATTTCTGACTCATAAATGACACTGTCATTGCAGAGGAAAAAAAATGCTTCCATATATTAAAAGTAAGGCTGCCTCATGGAGATACCATCTTCTTGAAGAAAGTATAGATACGAATCAAAAAAGATGTCAAGCATCATGCCTTATTCAGAATAAGTAGAGTCTTAATGTTTATTTTAAATCTCTTGCCAGAAAGGAAAGCATTAATACAATGTGCTTCACGCAGCCTTTGACACTTACAGAACTCTTAAAATTGTAATGAGCCAAAGATCAACAAACCTATAAGAATGAAAACAACTGGAAATGCTTTAGAAGTGGAGCCACTCAAGCTTTTTCATTAATTAAATGCCCACTGGTATTACATATGCATTGAACACCAAGACATATAGGTTGACATTTCCTGATCTGCTAATTTCATGGCTTAAAAAGAGGAAAGTCACACTTTCCTTTACAATACAAGTTGTATTATGGAAATTTACTGCCACTGAGTCAATCAAAATTTTGCCACCACATGAAGGTAGGTGCTCATTTTAAAAATAGGCAATTATAAAGAGAGAAAAAAAAACGAAACCTGTCACTTAAACCCTGTAATTTCATCCTTACTTCAGCTTTTGTACTCCTCTAGGTTTTTTTCATTCCTGTTGCCATACTGAAATAGAAATGCCTTTAAGGAGATAAATGAACAGAAATGGAATTATTCTAAGTCAAGTTTCACAATTAGCATTTCATTCCCATCTGCCCTTCAATAAATTGTCCATTCCAGGACCCAATCCCCACTCCCCTCCCAGCAAGATCATACAGATGGATACTGCAAAGCTGTAAAGAGGTACATCTGAATGCATATTTACACACTTGGCAAGACCCTGCTACAGCTGTAAGAGGATGCAAATCTGCACTACAATGGTGCTTCAGGCTCTCTGGCCTGTGTCAGGGAGCCCCCACAATATCAAGAGTGCTGCTGAGGACAATGCCAGGCACATATGACACAGCTAAGCTGGGCTGTGGCAGCTCTGTTAATTTACACCTCTGGAGACAAACCCTCATTTGGGCACCTGAAACAAGTGTGAATCTACACCTACATCAAAACTCACTTTCATTTGTTTGCTTCTGAGAGGCGACTTTGATAACAAACAATAACTCTGCCAGATGACACTGGTGAAAGAACACTGTGTGGGTGAGCATTTGATACAAACACCAGAAAATAAAAACAAACTGAGGGGCTTTATTTCATCCTAAGAAAAGCTTTAACGACTCCAGGTGACATTGCCAGTCAGTGATAGCTACCCTTGTTCTGGGTATGTCTTTGTTCTGGCAGCTGGAACAGTTTTCATCTATAACAAAAGAAATGTACTTAATAGGCAACACCTGAAAATCCCCTGCAAGAATAAACTACAGCAATAAAAAATGCAAGTTTAGAAAGCTCTTCCTGGAGGAAAAAGAACAGCATAGGTAGCACTGGAATCTTCTCTTTATCTCAGGTCAATTGACTTGTCACGGTTGGAAGGAGATTTGAAAAGGAAATTGCAAGTTCTTAGCAAGTATGATTGGAGGAATGGAGTTAATAGCCAGCAATCAGTATGGGTTGGGAAGGGTACGTAAAAATTTAAATGTATGCATACGCCACAACTGCAGAATGCCTGGGCTTTGTGTTTGTAAAAAATAAATGGAATAACAGGCAATTTCAATCTCAAACCAAAATGGTAATTTTATACTTAGGTTGCTGGGGTCTGAGAGTACTTCCATTAAACATTTCCCTCATTTTGATGTGATTGAGGCATGTAAATGGTATGTGCCTCTAATCCTGCTTTACATTAGAAATCTTTCCAGTACCAACAGGACAGTGTGTGCTTTCAGATGATAGTTTCTCTCATGTAGAAAGATATTTCTCCTATCACCACATTGGCAGCAAATAAATGACTTTAGAACCCCATTTTTCACTGCCATTTCTGCAAGATGTTTAGGCTCATCAGCTCACTGTTTCAAAAGGATAGTTTTATGATTTGAGAAGCTGCTTTATCCATACTCTGGAATAGTCATGCACTGTATTCAGCAAGTTACAGATACAAATGAGTATGACAACACTTCTAATGAAAAAACAGATTTATGTAAGATGGTGGGATACGCCATTATCTCTCTAAAGAAATATGTCTATATCCCCAAACCCTTTTAATACTTTCTAGTACAAAACACAACTTTCCTGCATGTGCTATTTTCAGCGGAATTACAAAAGATCTCACCGAGACTACTTGTAGTTTCTCTTTCCAACCAAAGGCAGATATTACAGACTGCAAAAATTTGTAGGTGGATGAAAGGTATGAAAATTATAGGACAGTGATGAGTACAACGAATTTCATTTCCACAAGCTTCTAATTCTTCTAAGGAAGAGAAGAATATAGGTTTTGCATAATCCTCTTTAACAAACAAATGCATACCCTGCAATGAAGTGCTAGGAGATGAGAGGTTACATTCCAAGCTAAATGCAAACTAGCCCTTCCCTGTGAAGCAAGGAGAGGACACATCCTGGAAAGGACAGCACGGCCAGAGATGCCCACAGGCTCAAGAGACAAGAAATTAATTTGGATTAGTTGATTCTTGATTTGTTTGGAAAAAAACTTTTTATACTTACTGTAATTCTCTCATCTTTGTCATCCAGAGGGGTCCCATCTTTCTTCCATGATATAGTTGGCTCTGGGTGACCTCTTGGGGGCTGGCACTCCATCACTGCAGGTTCCCCCACAGCTACCATGACATCTGAGGGGTTTTGTCTGAAGTCATCCCGTAGAACTGAAAGAATAAAGGCAACGAAGCAAAAAATTACTCAATAATAGTGCAGCAAAGTGTTTTGTATTGGCCTTTTATGGTGCCTGTTGTCACTGTATTTCACATTAACAAACAGATCAGTTAATCAACAAATTGTACCCATCCCTGAATTTAGGGCAAAATCAATGACCTAATAAAAGTCCCAGTTCTCTGATGACGTTACAAATCATTAAACATTTGCCCAGCCTTAGCCAAACTCATCTTTGCAATCTGGCTTGTGTCTTTTTAAGAAAAATATTAAAAACCTTTCCTGATCTCTGGTAGTTGTCACTGAGCCTAAACCAGGACCACATCCTTTATTTAGAAGTCGATTTTGCACCTTTTGTCAATTACCACCTTTGCACACAAAGAAACATTTTTATTGTGGCTTCATTACTAGTATTTGTTCTTTCTCATAATTTGGCCAAGCCCAGGCCTAGGAAACTCTAATTTCCTCCAGTCATCCACTATGGATTTTATCAATAGCTGTGTGATTATTTTTCTTTCTGGGAAAGTACAGACATCATCCTGTGCTCACCAGACCACTACACAGGGACATGGTTTAAAGGAATAATGGCATTTCTAAGCCTTGCCAAGTAAGTGGCATTAGGTTTAATCTAAAAATAAATAACTCAAATGATAACAAACAGAACATTCTAGTCCTCTCCACTGCCGCTCCTCCATCCACACTGAACAAAGGGTAGAGTAAGGGAAAAGCACACTGCACCCAAAGGACTCTCAGGATTTTTACAGAGCTGTATGTCACTCTTGCTACCTGCAACAATCTTGTGTCAACAGTAAATAATGCCAAGAAGCTGCAGAAAAAAAAAAAATATATATATATATATATATATATCCTCCAAGCCATGGACCCCAGATACATGGACGTTCACTAGTGAACAGGGGTTTGGTTGTTAATGCTGCTTCAAGGGGAAGTGAGATTCATTGTCAGCTGTGAAGGAAGGTGGTTGTTCCTACAAATTGGCATGCACAGGGCTACCACAGAGCCATCCCTCTCTGTAAGGCCTTTCGTGCTCTAAAGTGCTCTGAGGGCAAATGGGTCACCTGCTCTGGGACAGAGGTATATACACCTTCCTCATAACTGCTTTTATTGTAATATAATACACAACTGGGAAAGTTCCACACTGATACACAAGTGTAGGCAGGAATCAAAAACAATAAATAAAGGATATTTTGCCACTTTTCTAGCTAAATGACATATATTCCAGAAATAACAAAGAATATCTGTATATAAAAAAGACTTATATAGTACAGATCTCACCAAACATTTGAATTTACTAATCCCCTTCCACACTGAAACACTCACATTTCTAATATTTCAGTTCAATTACTGAAATTTCTGGATGCCCTGGAAACAGGACATAGTGATGCTCTGAAAGAGCATAGTCAAGGATAAAATGTCTCTATCACATTAACAATACAAACTAATAGAACAGAATTATAGGACTTAAAGAAGATACTATAGAATCATTTAGATTAGAAGGAGCTCCTGGAGGTCATCAAGTCTACAACAATAAGATGCTTTTGAATGACCATGTTCTCTTGGACATATTAGGTCTCTTCAACAGACCTAGTGTAAAGAGTTTATTAAAAAACACAACCCAAAACCCAACACAACAAATCAAAAGTACCTATTTCTTACTGTACAAAAGCCTGAAAAAACATGCTGCACCTAAGATCAAAATATTTATCTTCCTAAAAGCCAAGACTCATGGATATTTTCCTTCTACGAACTTGGGAAAAATTGAAATTATTTTCAGCTATAACATCATGTTTTTAAAAAGGGGAATGATGTAATTTTCTGTTATTCAGAAAGGTAAGTCAAAAGACCAATCCTTTAAACTCCCTTCTGCTTTCAACAAAACTTTATTAAGTTCAACCCACATTCTCTTACATCTTCCTTACCATATTCCCTTATATATTGATGCACCAAAATTGCACTTCGAATTAATTTTTGGTTATGGAAGTGTTAAAACATTACTCATGTACACTGGAAATGTTACATATCCTTGTTCCGCTTATACTGAATTTGGTGTTAACAGCCAAAGACAATTTCTTGTGTTCCCAAGAAACCCTCAAGCCATCCAGACATGGATCACTATAAATCACGTAGTGCAAATGGATAGCTGGACACTGCAGCTATTGAAGTCCAAGAATTTTTTCTACTGAATACTTTAGAGACTTAATCTGGCTTGGAGCCACTGATCATATTATTACTTTTTTTGGTTTTCTTCCCACTTTTTCAAATTAAAGAACATTAAAGAAGACACAGAAATTGCCCTAAGTTACTATCCCCTCCCTCCCATAGATCCAGTTCCCAGTGCCAAGAGCACATGAAAGTGCAGAAGAGTTTATTTGCTATGCCACAATTCTATTGCAACACAAAAAAGAGGTGCTTTGACCATGAGTAAGAAGCTTTTTATTACTGCTGAAGATTGTATCACTTGGATAAATTTAAGAGACATATAAAAAGAAGCAGCCTGAAGTTTAAAAAAATTAAATCAAGTGATCTTAATAAAGCATAAGTGCTTTTCAAGTCTGAAAGACCTCGTAACCTAAGAGAAAGGACTATTAGACAGCACCTCAGATGGCTTTAGCACCTTTGAAGCAACAAAGAAGTCCAGTACTTACATAATAAAACCAAATTACTTCTGTAATTTCTACACTCCTTAGTCTTATAATAGCTTGACAAGCAAAGTACCTTGCCTGCAAACCAAGACCTTTCACAAATTAACCAGTTCTAAATAGAATGCCTAGGAGCACATCAAAGGTCCAGGCCACAGATACTTCAAAACAAGTATTTTTTTCCTCATTTTCTATGAATTATTTTGGCTCTAACATCACATAATGAAATACTAACAAAATATAATCCATTAGAGATTACTCCACAGATAGTCATCGTAATTATTTTTGCAGCTGTAAAGCAGATACATGTTCTGTTTTGTTTGCCTCAGGCCCTGGCAATCTTGCATGAAGTTATAAATCTAAAATTTTCATCCCTTACTGAAAAAAACCTAACTTTTTCTTTCCTGTTCTTCATAGTCAAGGCTTACTGTAAATTGAGAAAACATTTCCTTTTTAATTTATATTAGAAGTATACTTTGCAATCCATGACAGCGAATGCTTTTTGTCACTTAATGGTGAAATTTCACCTCTTTCTACATATATGCAGCTGGAATAAAAAAAAAGAAAATAAAAAAAAAATTGAACTTTTTTTTCCTCTTTTTTAAAGAATCTTCATAGATATAACATTCTCCTCCTCATTTCTGCCAGACTTTGGTTAAGGTTTTCTATCATTTCCCCTGATATTCTCTGAAATCCAATGAAGGATTATTGCAACCATCATCACAGCACAGCTGGGACAAGTCCATGATCTTGCTGTGTGAATTTGCTGAACTATTCAGGTTCAAAAGCAACTTTTGTAGCTCCACTCAAAAGTCAACTGCTCACACAACTACTTCATATTGTGTGCTCTTCAATCCACTAAAGTTTTACTTTCCCCAGAGAATCTTTCTCAGGGAAGAAGGGAATTGGTAACCACTTGAGGATAAATTTTTACCTATAAGCAACATACATTTTCATTGATAAGCAGAGATAGCACCAAAACAGTCCTCTGCAAAATGCAGCACTCAGTGCTTTTTTTTCTTAACTTCTATGTTGCCTTCTATGAAAATGAGTAGGGAGACACTACAGGGTGAAATGGGAGGAAGGTAGGCAGGATTTTTTTGCCTATATAAACTGTGGATAATTCAGAAAGGTTACTGTTGCATTTTAACTTTAAATAACTGTGATTTGAAAGGGACATATAAAGCACAAGATAAAATAAACCAACCAGAAAGTTCTAGTCAATACTTGAAAAGAATGAATTTGTAAGGAACACATTAATTACCATCAGACATTGTGGATATCATGCCTTAACAGGTAGTATCATTTGAGATCTGGAAATCAGAAAATTTCCTGCAAATTTTGATTACAGGTCTGTTCCAGTCCAGACGCTTCCAGATGCCAGATCAGTTCAAAGCAATGCACCAGAATATATCTGGGATTTCTAATCAACCAAGATCAACCAGCCACGGTCACCCAGTGAACAGAGGAAAAGGGAAATGTTGATGCTTGTGCTGCAAATTTCTGAATCAGATCAAGGCAATTTTAATCCATTTTAATTCTTATAAAAAGGCATCACTCAGACTTGCTTCCCATTAACTCTCTTGCACCATCACCACAAAACACGTAATTTTACAAGTCTGCTTCTTAGAGAGACTGGTGAGCCAAAGTATGGCACAATTATTTAACTGAAGACATCTCAACAAGCTCCACTCTTTCAGCATGAACATAATTTGAATCTTTTTTTTTAATGTGCCCCAAAAATGGTGGAAAAACAAAGTGAAATGAACAGAAGAAATGATCATCACATTTCTTTGAACAACTAGACCTCAGCTAATAAGAAAGTTTCCAGCCCAAGCAAACAAAACCCTCCTGACATCAAACAAGCTAAATACAAACCTTAGTGGTCCACTGCCCTGCCTTTTGACTAATTTTGTTAGAAGTTGTAATAGATTTAAATTTTTTTAAATATCCACCAATTCTGCTATTTTCATTACTTTAAATAGATAAAAAGTATTTTTATGTTTCTCTTTTCCTCTCCAACAATAGAGCAGCATTTCCAAACTAAGTTTCCACCTAATACTTCATTTGACTAATAAAGTATGATGAAGAAAACAAGAAAAATGAGAGCTTGCTTTGAAAGCCCGTAAGATAAGGAAAACAAAAATAGGATTCAGGAGGTTATATAAATCTTCTAATCCCATGAAGCTGTAATCAAAGAGAAACTAATTATTGCTTAGTCAGGATTGAGTTGTTATTCAAAAACAGAGCTCTTCCTGTAATTTAGGATCAGCAATGATCCCTTTTCCCCACTACCTACTAAACTTGTAATTCAAATTTACTGAGACACACCAGACATT